ATTATTATTATTATTATTATTATTATTATTATTATTATTATTATTATCTTTATTATAGTGCATGGATATCTCCCATATTGCACTGTCTTCAAAATACATTAAATTTTACATCTTTTTAACATAGTTCGTCTTAAAATTAACTTTGTACATAGTTTCCTAACGAAAAAAAAGAAAGATATTTCTTAAAACTTAAATTCCTTATAATGTATAAACATATGTCTTATACAATAGATATTATATAGTATACTTTGTTAAATGTATGAATGTATTCATTTCAGAAATTGAACATTTTGTTTTTGAAACGGAATAGAATTTAATTCAACAAAACTACAGTTACGATATAATAAACGAATAAATTTGTTTATTTTTATAACATAAATTTCTTCATTTTTACAAATATAATTGTAATGAATGGTAATGACGTTTTACATTAGAAGAACATGTATTTTATGAAGCATTCATTAAAAATATAAGAAATATTTTTGAATATTTTCAAATGCGAAAATTGTAATATCTCAAAAAGAGAGATACATAACACTCTACTTTCGTAATCATCGACACAAGTATAAAATTCAAGCATAGATTATATTGGAACGATCATGCGAGCATTTTCCAGCGAATGCTCGTTTTAGAATAATTTTCGTGGCATGGAGGGGTTCAACGAAACTCTTTTCGATATCTGAAATGCAGATCGAGCATTTTGATATGGAAGGCACGTTTCATTCATCTACCCGGATAAGGGTTATAACGTCTCTTACGCGTAGACTGAGAAATGTTACGTAACAAATTAATGGTAAAACTATTGATGCGTTTAATCAGTGTTTTATTTATCTTAAAAAAATAGCCATCTCTATTTTACATTGTAGAAGAGTAAAATTCTTATCTAGATATAAGTTTCAAATAACGAATACAGGATAAGCAAATTTGTATTTATTAATTGTACAATTGTACAATTGTAATCACAACTGGAAGATAAGCAATTTTTTCTTCACCACTCGCACAATAAAAATTTTGAATAATGACTATGAAATAAAAAAGTTTCCAGTTTCTTCTCATGGAATAGAATATAGAATTAAATCAAAGCTACGAATAAATCGCAATACGTTGACTTCGTGCGTCATCTATTAAACGAGTAATGATTTTGAAGAATATTTAAAAAAATATTTGTTTTAAATTCGACTTCATGACACGTTTCACCTCACTTTACTCGAAATTCATCTTTCCAACCGTTTTGAAACAAAAATACGGTGCCGCGATCATTCTCGAAATCCAATGACAATAATTGTTCAGCGCAAATAGCTTTCAGAGAAATTTATTCGACAGTAAAGGGGGACAACAAGCTCCCGCATCGACACTTTCAGCTGACCTGATCGAAATATTCAATTGATCATTGATTCTGACATAAATAGAGACACCTGACGATTTTGTCACAGTGTATCGCGATCGTAGCAAGGTGAATATCAGCACGTATCGAGAAACTGCAGATATCCAGGAAACGTGTTTCAATTTTCTCGCTGATAACGTTGTCCGGCTTCCCTGTTACACTTGGTAAAGAAGGTAATCATAACTGGATCGCATTCGACGTTTATAAAAATTGTAACGCTTCTAAAAAACCAATCGAAAATATTTTTACTAATTACACCTTCATTGGAAGGCGCTGATGCTTAATGTTTACTGTTTAAAGAAAAATTTCTTGTCCTTAGTATATTACAAAAAAATATTTAGAATAGTCGTGAATAGGACGTGCTGAAGATTCACTCAAAATTTGAAGTTATTCGAACAATTAGAACTCGAGATATCATGGTAACCATTTAAAAAAAATATAGCAACGAGGAGGTTTTAAAGTTTTTTATACCAAATACGTATACTTACAATTATTTGCTCGTTGAAAGTAAACATCAGTTTTGCACATTCCACACGTTACCAACGAAGAAATTGTAAATAGTAAAAATTACAAAGAAATTTAAAATGCAGTATTCAAATCAACTGCAGATGATAACATCGTTTCGGGCACCGTTCTCTTTAAACACCCCTAACTTCGTTAATTTTCCGAATGTAACAAACTCCTTTGGCAGATATATTTTCAAAGGTCTACTCTTTGAGAAAATGCAATAAAATAATTGATATTTCGAAAGCTCCGGACTAGAATACTCAGTTAAGGTAAGAAATCCGCTTACCTTTGATTCGTATCGAAGCATAGGATCGAGCACAGTTTTCCTCCTCTGGAAATTCGAGGTTTCCGTGTCGAGGAACGCCTCTTATCCGCGTTAAAGAGCAAGAAACGCACACACGCGGAAAAGATTTTCGCGCGTGATCGCGGATAGGCGAACGTCAGCACGAACATTCGGAATATTTAAATGCGATGGGGCTTCGACGTGCAAACTCCTTTCCGTTTCTTCGCCCACGGTTCTTCGAGCATTCTGTCAACTCTTGGACGGTAATGGAAGAAGTCCTAGGAAAAATCGTTCAGTTTTCCACACAGAGCCGCGGAGGACGCGTGACGTGCGCACCTGTCCGAGTATCCTCAACGTATTTCGCGACCACCGATCACGTTAGATCTTTTCGTGGCGTAATATGGCGATGGTACAACGGCTCGACTTGCAATTAGCCGCGCGATAAAATCTGTGAATCGTCCTGGTGGCTGCTCGGAGGGGTTACGATACTTTCACGGACTTAAGATTAGAAGTAAGGTAGCTTTGACAGGTTTATATTATATCAGAGGTCGCATTGCTAGTTTCGAAGCAATCTCTCTCGATGTTAGGTGTCAGAGATTTCAATGTGCACACGTAGTTGTCATAGTTGGTTCAAGAATTGTTTTAAATATTTAAATACACTCTGACTTGACCTCGGTGTCTTCGCTCGGTCCTCTTCTTTATTCGCTGTTCTTGTCTGCGTTCGCCGGGCGTCCGAAAGGGTTGCAAGAGAAAGTTTTAATCAAGAGAATATTTAAATAGAAACTATTTCATACTTTTTAATGCAGTTTTAATTCTGAAGAACTAAATGATGTTACTTTGTTCGTTTGCAGATAATACCAGACGAGGACGATGATACTTCTATCGCGATCTTCCGAGTCTACGCGAAGCTTCTTCGTTGGTGGTGAGTCTATTATCCTTGTTCGAAGCTTCAGATTTAATCATTAAGCTTACCAAAGGCACTTTATTACAGTTTATTACAGACATGTGATTTGTATTGAATTTAATAGAACATTTTCAACAGTATACTTCTCAGTTCTTGTGTAAAATATTTGATTCGTTCTAGCTCTTGTGTTCGGAGTGTACGCGTTGCTGATTTCCCAAAACGTCACAAAAGCAGACGAAGAGCCAGCGTTCTTCCTGAAAATTGTGAAGAACATACCACGTGTTGGTCGAAGCGACGGTTACGACAACCTCTTCTTCAAGTCGCGGAAGAACGCTGGAGTCGGAGAGCACGACAGTGGAATGCAGGTACTTATTGGTTGAAACATGATGTCAGTCTTCGTAACATTATTAACATTAGATTTACAAAGCCAGTTTGATTAATTCAGATTTAAACTGAATTTCGTATGGAAAGTTAGAGAATGTGTCCATATTCTTTGCGAACCCCATATGGCGACTTTTATTCATATTTATCCAAAGAGACATGCATAATTAATTAAAATGAGGCTGATTTTAAAGTAAAATATTCTTTAAACGCACATCACAAACATGTACCCGTTGAATTTTATAATGACAGATTCTATTATTTATATAGCTAATACTTTCACAAATTAAATATCGCCTGTTGGACGAAAATACTAGAAGTTAGAAGAAATTCACGAACACATATAGCTTCAACGTTATATTGATAAATTATATCGCTAATATAGCTAATATTTTTACAAATTAAGTAGCCTAGACTTTCTGTCAGTATATAAAGTGCAACCAAACAAAATTGCATCTGAATCGGACGAAAACTATCGGACTTATAAAGAAATCACAAACACAAATGTTGAATTTTTATATTAATAACGTACCTTTGCGTTTTTCAAGCCTGAACCCTGGTCGTCGCGTGAAAGCGAGGAAGCTTTTGCAGGGCCCATAAAAAGGCGCATACAGTATTCAGCGGCTGACGGTATAGAATTCTGTATTCTACGGATCTTATTTTACTCGTTTCTCTTTTTCATTTTCACTATGCATTAGTCACGCGTTTAGAATATTGATATGGTTAGAAATAATTAACACGTTGGTGAAACTTGATCAACCCAGAAACGGGTCGACTCAAATTATACCATTCTATTCTCATTAACAGGCGAATGGACCTGGCAGAACTTTCCTCTTGCGATAGAGGGGCCACGAGAACTTTGGCGAACTTTGGCTGGATACTCCAAAGACGCAATGGACGAGTAAGTTATCAAAACAGAGAACAATAAAATGTAACGACATTAAATGCATAACGATTTCAAATCATTCAGAACACCTGGAACTTGCATATAAAGTGAAACATATGATGTGGTACAACAGAATATTTCGCTGCCAGATCTTTTACACTTTACTGTTCGCAGCATAAGTGTTTCTTGTTAACGGTCTTTGTTTCTGGAAA